TTTCACCAAAACCTCTGAACCTTCTATGTAACATCTGAATTTGGAGACCGCCCAGACAACGGCTAGAGCCTCTCGCTCTGTAGTGGTATAGTTACGCTCCGCAGGCTCCAAAAGGCGACTGGCGTACTCTACAGGCCTCTCGTCATGCCCCTCCCCCTGCATCAACACTGCTCCCAAGCAAAAGCCACTGCTGTCCGTCCTAAGCGAATATGGTTTGGTCTCATCTGCCTGGCGGAGAATTGGCGCGGTGGTTAAGAGATTTTTTATGCGTTCAAAGCTTGCTCGTTGGTCTTCCTGCCATTTCCAAGTGCTGTCCTTCTTCAAGAGGTCAGTTAAAGGCTTGGCGATAGCAGCGTAGTTGGGTATAAATCGCCTGAACCAACTGGATGTAGCTAAGAAGCTCTTGAGCTGCTTAACATTCTTTGGGGAGGGCATGTCGGCTATAGCGGAAGTCTTTTGTGGGTCTACCTGTAGACCACCAGGTACTATGATGTGACCTAAAAACTTCACGGATTCACGCGCGAAGAAACTCTTCTTTCTATTGACGCGTAAGTCGAATTTACTAAGCCTGTCAAGAACAGCTTCCAGATCTTCGAGATGCTGCTCGAATCTTTGTGACAGGATTATTAAGTCATCGAGATACCCCAGAATTGTGACAGGTCTCCCCTTCTTAGGATTAGAACTATTAATATCCATTTCTGTAGGTTCTGGTACGAATAGGTTTGCTTTAAAGCGATCCATTAACCTCTGGAACGTGGCACCAGAATTGCGCAATCCCATGGGCATCCTTTTGAATCTGAAGGTACCGGAAGGCGTGATGAACGCGGTTTTGTCACGGTCCTCTTCAGCGACGCAAACTTGAAAATATCCAGAGTGAAGATCAAGAGTCGTCATGTAACCGGTCGTCTTGGCAGCATGGAGTACATCTTCAATGCGCGGAAGCGGGTATCGGTCCGGTTCTGTCACTGCATTGAGCTTACGGTAATCGACACAAAGTCGAACTCCTCCATCCTTCTTGCTAACGAGAACAACATTCGCTGCCCAAGGCGACTCACATTCTTCAATTACGTCTGCTACTAGCAACTTCCTAATCTCACCTTCCAGCAACTCTTTTTTCCTCTGCGGCAGCCTGTAGGGTGGTGAAGCTATGGGTTCCTGCTTCTCGTCAACCCTAATATGGTGGGTGGCAAAGGTTGTTGGAGGGCCTTCGGTGGCGAAGCGTGCAGCTTTACTTGCTATAAGCTGGTTGAGCTGGATTCTTTGTGCACCTGATAACTTTGATCCTTCATCTTCCCTCAGTAGCAGGCTGGTAGTATCATCGTCCATAATCGCAGCTTCATTGCTATCGGAGAGGTTATAAGAATCAACAAAAGGTAATTTATGATTAGGTGAGTCGGAAAAATACCATTGACCATGTTGGAAATCGAGTATAATTCCGGCTCGTTTTAAAAAATTTTGACCTAACAGTGTCCTGTTGTCGGCACCTGGTATCACTAAAAAGGTAGTTGGTATGTCCCGATTGCAAATAGTTACTGTTGTCTGACATACTAGCACGTCCTGCACCCGCCGTGTACCATCCGCAAGGCCAATCGAACGACGTGCCTTCGTGAAAATTGTACCGTCGTCGACGAGAATTTTGTGTAAATCAGGGCTGGCAAGGCACTCGGTAGCACCGCTATCTAACATAACTATTCCTGTGCGGGATGCAATTTTTATGGATACGATTGGTCGCATAAGGTCGGGTGACACTGAGCGTTCGCGTTCGTCGGAAAGCGCACTCCTAAAATCAGCCTTATCTATGGCGGGAGTGGTAGCAGTACAAGTTGGGCACTTTGTACGAACGACACCTTCACGGCCGCAGCCATAACAAGACATAATTTTTTCGTAATCGCGTCCACTAGTTTCCGACTTGTTTCGACAGATATCTACCGAATGACCAAAGCGTTTACAAAAGCTACAGCGCGGTCTTACACGTTTTGGAGCTACTGTGTTCGAATTAGAGGTGGGCACGACTATTGTAGGGTTAGTAGGACGGACATCGAACAACGGAGGGTTAATGTTTACATTTTGAAATTTTGTGTTCGATGTTTGAAAGATGTTAGCGGTATTACGGGGTGATGTAAAGAATATTTTATTGCCATCCGCCTCATCTAGGGTCGTCTCTATACACCTTGCACGCTCAAGCAGACAGTCGACATCGTTAACACTTTCGCGCGGCACTCTTAAACAAATTCTACGGTTTAGAAGGCCGTAAATAATGTCTGTTTGTACTTGCTCGGGGAGCACATAGGGAAGCCCTGACAAATTAGCACGCACTTTACAAATAAAAACATCAGAACTTTCTTCTGGGGACTGTTCTCTCTCAAAAATCTCACGGAATATCCGGTGGGCAGGTCGAGGAGCACCATACATAAAACGCAGTCTCTTCAGAGCGTCGTCCCACGTCGACACAGTTGACTTGATGCCTCGCCACCACACGGCGGCGTCGCCGGTAAGCAGCATTGACAAACCTCGTAGTGCATGGTCGTCGGATACTGACGCACATTCTTTGTAGACGTTCATGCTATCGATGAATGCTTCAACCACTTCTACGTCACGCCGGGATCCGTCAAAGCGTGCTGTACAGCTTGCGAAATTACTTTGCGACGTCAGTGCTGGAGACGAGAACGAATTGATGTTGGTATCTTTAGGTTTACTGGTTGTGGTCACGATGCTCTTCACTATGGTTGTCATTAACCGGGCAAGTTGTTCTTCGGTAATTGAAATAGGAGGACCATCGCGCTGGGCAGTTGCATCCGGCGGCGTGGTGGTGTGCTCAACGGCCTCCACGGCGGCATGTTAGTACTCACTACCGCTCGAATCATCTTCTAATCTGTCGCGCCGAGCATCTGGCGGTTGCATATGGGAAGCATCCTGAAGTATGTGATTGGACACCTCAATGTCGCTGGCTGGCTCTCCTCCTCCGTCCTCATCGCTGGGTATTTCGCGAGATGCGCTCGCTTGTCCAGCTTGTCTACGAGTGCGAGGCATTTTCTCTCGGCACTCGACAGCGGTCTCTCCTCAGCGGTGAACGTGAAAAACTTTGTTGTACTCACGTGACAGTTACTCTTTGTCGCAGGTCGTTTTAACTTGTTCGACGCGTATTGTCGACGTCGAACCCGCTAGTTGGGCGCCATTTATAATGAGCCAGCAGTACTTCTTAATGCATTTATTAGTAAATCACAACAGAAATTACTCTACATAATAAAATTAATATATTTTCTCTCTAACACTCAAGCGCGTTGCTATGATACTCACAGCTCGACTCTACCGCGCAAGCGTGCAATTCGTAGGGTTGACGAACCTATATGGGGATGACCTAGGGTTGTTACAGGTGTCATTTCCGGTTATAATAAGGTACTCTGTGACAGAAACTGTGCCACAGATTAGAGAGAATTTTTGAACTCTCGTCAACCAAAGAAAGCTAAGAGATTTAGGTTCTATAGCCACATATTCATTAGCTTCATTATTTTTGTTATGTTTTTAAGATAACCATATTTTAGATTTTTAGTGTATCACACCTTATAATTTTATTTATTTATTAATTTATATGTCAGGGAACGTAGGCCCATAGATAGATACCTTAAAGTCTAACATATATACAGATTATAATGTGTTTATCTCCAGTGTTTGGCGAAAAATGTATGGCAATAGACTTTATGATGTCGCCTTCCATCTATAATAATTGTCTGAGCATATTTGCATCTAGTGAAAAAGCTTATATATAAAGAAAATATAACTAGAAAAAATTCCACGCGGACCAGGCAGCAGACGGGACTCGAACCCTTACATGCTTTAAAAATAATAAAAATTATAACTATAATTGCTATTTCTTCTTTCAAATGTTTAATACTTGTAAAAGTATTCATTTGACATTGTGGGTTTACCTATAATGCGAAGAGATGGCGCTGCCTTGCAGCTTAAGAATAGCTAGAAAGAATTTCGACGCGGTCCGTGAGGGCCGCGGTAGCATAATTGGTCAGTGCATTCGCCCGGATTGCGAAGGGTGCGGGTTCGAGTCCCGTCTGCTGCCTGGTCCGCGTGGAATTTTTTCTAGTTATATTTTCTTTAGATTTAAACATCAAGCAGTTACATGCTTTAAAAATAATAAAAATTATAGCTTATATATAGTTGTGGATATTAATACCACAGTGTAATAAAAAAATTATTTATTTTATCGATCTTTACAAAATAGATTTGTTTTTATGTTATATAAACAACTTCGATCAGTCTTTGGCTGAATGTTACTACACCCATAGCCATTAAAAATGATTCGTATGATTTCCAAACCGGTAAAATTAAGTCCTTTTTAAAGTAAATATATTATACAAAGGTGTCCGTTGAAATCTAATGACTGTAAATTAAATTATAAATTACGCCAAGAATTACCGTGTATGTCAATATTTTTTGTGCATTTGGGCCAATTTGAGCAATCTCCTTTAAACAATTTCTTTACAACTTTGTCGACTTCTGACAGTCTTTAAGCCCCGACCTAGACCTCTGACAATAATTTTCCTAGATTCCTACAGTTAAAAACTATAACTCTACCAAATTTCAGAACTGCACCTTATCATTTTTTTCTTATTGAAAATTTACAATTTTGACCGCCCACCCACGCCTTCCGCCCCGGGAGAGTTCTGACGGGCCTCGCTCTGTACTTATCAGCTACCAAGGAGAGGTTATATATATAATTCGTTACTACACCTTATCAGTTCACGTTTTCGTAGCCAGCTCTTAGACCACGAGCAAGAGAGATCGCTGTGGCACGGTAATATAGATAATATTACCGTGGCTGTGGCGTTCTATTGCCAACCACCCGATCATTGCAGCGTGGTTGCCAACATAACGAAAATATCGTGGCTATGGATGAAAATCGGGTCACCTTTGACCCACCACGAGGACTCAGTACGAATTGGTGGGTGCTAACGTGTGTAAATGTGCATTCTGAAGCACTGAGGAGTTGGAGATTATCAATTTTTGATCACCCATCCTATGAGCGACCATCGAGTTATATTTTCCACAATCGCAGGCCGAACGCACTAACCCACTGCGCCATCAAGCTTCTCATTGTTATTTATTATCATCATATAAGCCGTATAAAGCCCACTCCTGAGCATAGGCCTCCTCAAAGGATCTCCACACTAATCGGTCCTGCGACACACGTATCAAGTAGTTTCCCGCGACCTTCACAAGGTCGTCGGTCCATCGAGTGGGGGGCCTGCCCACTGAGCGTTGTCCGGTGCGCGGTGTAGTCATCCTTGCGCTTCACAGCAAAACAAATGATGTTTCCTGTTGTAAACCCCGCATCACAGGTCTTTCAGATGCCCTTTTCCAGGAAACAACAATCAGGATAACCAAGTGCAGAGAAGATCTTCAAATAAATGTATATCTTATAATTTTAACTAAGATCTAAAACTTCAAATTTCTTCAAGGGTTCCTTCCAGGGCCCTATGGTTAAGGGTATGGAGTCAAGATAGGCAGCATTACTGTTACTTGAGTATCACAGGTTAGGCTATGATTGCCACTTACCATCAGGCCATCAGTTTATTTTCACCCCCTTTTACAGGGAGATCTTTGTTTTTCATTGAAATTTTACGATCTTAAGAAATTATATAAATAAAAAAAACAGGTACAATCAAAAAGACTGATTCTTGACCCACTTGCCCAATATTTCGCATAATAATGCCAGAATAGCCAAGTTTTTCTTTGTAGAGAATGCGTAATTCACTTAGGACTGTCTAATAACAAGAAAACTGTGTTAATATATTTGAAATTTTACCTTTATTTTGAATCAAATAGATCATGTTATGGATAAGATTGTAAAAGGGGTTTGAATTCAGAAATCACTTTTAAAATCGTAAATTTATCAGAAACTCTTTCAATTCCTTGAAATTATAAAAATAAGTGTGTAAACAGATACGAAAATCCTTAGTCAATGGGGCAAAACCACCTCCAAATAATGTCAAAATTATATCAAATGATTATGATTGTTCAGAAAACAACAAGTTTATTTGCAGGGATATTTACATTAAAGCAAAAACCTACCTTATTGTTTTGAAATGGTTGTAACAAAATCAGCTTATAGTGTGTCAGGTATCAAATTGGCAGATTGCATTTTTTTTTTTCAGATTTAATTAACAACTGAAGTTGATTACTAAACTTAAGTTTTACTGGTAATAATTTAAATTTGAGAAAGTAGCACAGCAGTTTTTTGCATGAACTGGAACATAATGTTTGGGAATCTTAACTGGACCTTACTGAAGACAGTAGCAAAAAAGTATTATTTCTTAATATTAAATTTATGCAATGCATTGTTGTTTCCTAGTGAGATTACCAGGAGGGCTATAACATTGCAATTCAAATATAATTGCCTGGTAACATACCAGATGCCATAAAGTTTATAAGACAACGAACTTGGATTTTTGTGTGCTTATAAAAAATACTGTACATAAATTGATTGTAATGTCAGCATTTGACCCTATTGAGCTATTTGGGGTCATGTTGGGACAGGCAATGCCAGGGATACCATTTCTTAAAATAATAATACAAGCTTTGTGTGCGACAAACTTATTTTGTTTTATTTTATATAATACATTTAACAATAACTACAAACAAACTAATTGTTCTATACAGACTTATCATCAGCATTTGGTCTTACAGGGGAAGAAATTATACCTAATAATTTGCAATCTGCTTCCAAAAGTGTAAGATCAGTACTAGAACCAAGAAATCTTGATGATAGTTCTAAATCATTTATTTGGATACGAACTCTTGCACCTCTTACATACTCATTTCCTCTGTTCATTGGACGAGTACAAACACAATGAAATTTCCATCCAAAGTCAATATAAAGGTCGTCTTCAACTACATGGAAAATCTTCCCAATCACTATCTTACCAGCAGGGTCACCAAGCTGTCAAACATATATTTTTGTAATTAGCATATATTATAAATAAAAGGAACTTAATTATTTTGAATGCGAATAAACATTGGGCTTACATCCATTAGTTTTGAATGACGGAGCAGAGATGAAAATGTATAGGGCTGTTCACTAGTATCTGTTAAATTTGTGTGTTTTTCGTAGGCTTTTGCAAATCCACCTTTCTGTTCCACTGCATCTGTCAGATTACTTTCTTCTGAAGAAATACTTGTTCCAGGTATTCCGTTTGTACTTGATAAAGCCCTAGATGTCACGGTAAAGCTGCGGTGATGCAAAGCACTTCTTCTGGTAACATTATTGATAATTAACGCTAATTCAAAAGATTTTTTAAAAGAATACATTTTGTTTTTGTCGCTAAGTAATCAAATCAATTTTTCATTTCAGTAAATATTACCTACAAATCAATGAAAAAATGCACAGAGAGAAAAACACATGAAAAATTGAAAAAATACAATGTACAATGTAGACCCCTGTCAAGTGACAGACATGTCAATGTCACCAATTTTTCATTGTTTTTATTAGAAGGCAAAAACTAAGCTATTCAGCTTTGTCAAAAGAAGTGTAACTTGAAACTTAGAGTATTTACGACAGGCATGGCCACTGGCCATGATCGTTATATAAAACTAGTTTATGCGCGACCGCTACCATTTTGGATCGTTCCGCAGCGTGCTCCCACAAAAATGGAAAATTATGTTGTTTTCCCACGCAAAAACCGATCTGCAACTTCAATCTTGCTGAAACATGTTGTTTCCTATCATATAAAAGTATTTTTAAGTTGTAAAAAGTTAGTATTCTAGTATAAAATTCAATCAAAAGAAAAGGCGCGAAATCACGAATGAATGACAAAAATAATAGGTAGAAATTCATAGTGATGTGACGAAAAATGAATGAATGGTATGGTATATATTCTGGCATGCATTTCTCTTAACTAAATTTGACATTAGTCACTCCTTTTCATTCTGTATAGAAAAAGACAAGGATACATTGTTGTCAAAAATTTAAGCTTTAGAGAATTATGCCGGAATCGACACCAAAATTAACTTACTATATTTTATTTAGTTTGTTTGTTTATTTGGCAATATATTGATGTAAACAGCGCATAGGCAGTAGAAAGTAAATCAAATTAAGTAGTTAGTTATCAGGTCGGCTGCCCACATCGAGCGACTTTTATTACCTTTTAGCTAACAAACTTTTTTTAATAGCTTCCAAATGTCAAATTAAGATGAAAAGGCCATCACACAAGCCTAGATTTTATGTAGTTACGCCGTGATTATTATCGTGTCGTGAAAAAAAATGACGTTTACGTTATACTCACGAACGTTTGTTCATGGATGTTGCAATTCGTATTTCTCTTTAGACCAGGAGATTAAAACTAATATTATTAAGGTTTTGTATTAAAGGGAATTTTAGGGTTTTTAGACAAATCAAATAATTGTTTTCGCCATAACTTCTTAGTGTTTTTAAAACACAGTTTCTTTTATATGTAGTAGCGTATTTTATTGTAATCCACAACGATGGTACCTAATTACTATTCATCTGGGCCGACATTTAATACAACTTGAGGACATTCAATTTCCAGAAACTTGGAGTTCCATGGAAGCTGTTTGGCTAAAACAGATAAGTACTTTAAGGTGTCGGCGAGTCACAAAATCGATGCCATTAGGACTGCATAGTTCCAAAATCTGAAACATTAATAATAATCTTGGATCTCGAGAAAAATGTTATATTCGTAATCAGATTTAAATGGATTTTAAATAGAAAAATTCGATAAATTTTTGCACTATATCTTGGACATCAATAAATTACAAAAGCCCCCCTGAAGCCCATGTGAACTAATAATTAAAGAAGTTCAAATTTTAAGAGACACGGTAATGATATTTTAAAACATAGTAACTAAATAAAAATAATACTAATATTAATACTTTTGGTTGATTGTCTTTATGTGAATAAAATACTTTTTACATTTTATTTTAATATAACACTTTACAAAGGTAGCAGTCTTACTTCAACAGAAATTGCAGAGGTATGGTGAATAATTGCTTTTATATTTATTTGAAATATATAATAAATAGCTTAGCAATTTAAGCACACTATTAAAATTATAATATAATATGGTAATTAAAGCATATTTTCTTGATAAAATTTAATTACATATCTTGGCATAGTTGTTCCTGCTGTTCCAATGGATTTTAGTGCATTCAATGAGATCAGGAATTGACATTCTAATGAAAATGATTTGATATCTCCATGAAAAAAAAATCTTACGTTAATAAATAAATGTAAGTTAGCCTGTTTTCTTCTTTGCTTTCTCTGTTGTGTAAGATAAAAAATAATTTATTTGCACAGGCCTCTTAAACCTCCTCTCTTTCTCTCAGTAGCAGAAACTACTTTGGTTCAACTTAATTGTGAATACGTATAATAATAATAAAGGCGTATAATAAACTTCAAGAAGAGAAGAAAAAGTGTTATCCTGGTGTTATTGCTGCAACAATCACAGAAATTTCAGTAAAATAAAATTATAAACATAACTTGATTTAACTGCGAAGAAGCTTATTTATTCTGTCATCGGACAAACGTGTTAGTGAAGGAAAACTTTTGCTTATTAGGAAATGAGGTCTTGATGGAGTATCGAACCAAAGCGTCTATTACTTTAAGTCGAATGGTCGAATGATTCAACTTATTAGTAGTTTAATGTGCGCTTGTTCTAAGAGTACTAATGTTTTTCTGTAATCTGTTATCAGTGCACGGATGTTTTATGACCCTTTAAATTTAGTAACTCACTGGTGTCGATTCTGGCAGAATTCTCTAAACTTAAAACTAAATTTAAGATCATTCTGTCCTTTTCATTCTGTATAGAGAACGACAGGGATACACTGTTGTCAAATTGAAGTTTAGCTTTAGAGAATCATGCCAGAATCGACACCACTACTTAGGTGAAATTTGAAGATAAAATATGTTAAAATAATAATTTCTGAATATATTTGTGGATCTTATGGCAAAAATCGGTAATTGGGAAAATGTAGCAAATGTATCGTAATTGTAGTCTTATTAACATATAAAAAAATCAAGTCGAAAGGCGAATGGAATCTTAAGATAAAGGATTTTTTATTACTAGTTTATTATTAGTTTTCCATACTAAGAAATCATGTTAGGTACCATATTTCTTCAAATAACATTCCCTTCCCATAAGAAAATGCCATTAATGTTTTTTATAGATAATAATTACAATAATACTATGGTACTACTTATTTTTAAAATTTATAACATGATTTTTTAAGTACCCTATGTCCTATCGCTTGTATGACGTTGATACACTGTGCAGCGGTTCGTATGTCAAGACAGGGTTGCTATCAATTTTAAAGGCTTGGAAGGGGCCAGAAGCTTAATTTCAAAAACAGAAAAAATTAAAAAATCCGACTTGGATGAATAAAGTTTCCTTAGCTGACAACTAGAGGATATTTTAAAAACCAAAACTATCAATTTTGACATTTATGTTGTTCGTTGTCAAATTTCACACCATAGCACACGGTTTTTTTGATAATGTCGAGGCATCGAACTAGATAATTGACGCATTCTATTTAGAAACTACTTTGAAAATGACCGAGGATCAAGATGTTAAAGATTCACAATCCGACTCGGGGAGTAAAACGTTTATCAATAAGAACAAAGACAAGAAACCGAAGAGTCAACGGCCACTGACCAAAGTGATTACCTACTACACATTTTAGTTTTAGATTTCTTTTCACGAGTGGTTTGTTAAGATATATGTTGTTTCAGATTATACTTCGGCGTTTGCCTCCAACTATGACTGAGGAAGCGTTTTTAGAACAAGTCTCACCTATACCAGAACATGACCATTTCTACTTTGCTAAACCTGACTTATCCCTTGGAAATAACGTTTATTCAAGAGCTTATATAAATTTTGTTAACGTTGAAGATATTTACCTCTTTCGGGATAAGTTCGACGGCTATATTTTTTTGGATGAAAAAGGTAAACTACACTTTAAATCATAACCTAACAAAAAAAATTTAACTATCTAACTTAACGCATTTACACGTTACTTTCCTTCACTTTCTTTCTGCATTAATAATTATAAATCTTTACATTTAGTACATTTCAGAGGTGTATGTTTTCATTTTGTAAGAAAATAACGGGTCAATATTTTTTCTTTCTTTAATTATTTTGTGTTTATCTTTCAGGTGTGGAGTATGTTGGGATAGTTGAGTATGCACCATTTCAAAGAATACCTAAGAAGAAGAAAAAGAAAGACCCTAAATGTGGTACAATTGAAAGTGATCCAATTTACCAAGACTTTATTGAGCACCTTAACAAAGATCCTGAAACAGAAAATCAACCGAAATTGGAATATTCATATCCTGTCAATGATGGTGAGTTTATCTTTATTTTTAAATTTCATTAAACACAGCTTTTTAGGGAATTTAGTGAAATCTTTGCCTGATTGTCGGTTTTAGTTCTTCTTATAATCTGAACCCCTTCTATTCTGGACACCTATGTAATCCGAATGTCCCATACCCACCATATTAGTTTACAAAAAAAAAATGTAAATTGCAAGACAAAGCTTTTTATTTATCATTAAATACCTCCCGACAAACTAAAATATTGATTTTTTTTAAAAAGTTAGTAAATGTAATGTTTATAGATGAATATACATTTGAAATTTTACAATAGTGTTAGTTTTATTTCATAAAAAATACCCTATAAATTCTCTGTACCATAATGCAAATGCTCCACAAATCCAAACAGGGGGTAAATTTTAGTTTGGATTAAAGAGGTCCTGTATCTGTATCCTCTATTTTGTACAATTTATAAAAAAAAACGAGCAAGCCTTATGTTAGCCATACACACTACGAGAAATCGTTACGATTAGACTGTACCGTCCGAACGGAACCGATAAATCGTAGCGTGTATGTTATAAAACTGCACAGTTTCCTATACGTACACCATGTACGATAAACTGTTCCGTTCGAACTGTACAGTCTGTCCTAACAATTTCTCGTAGTGAGTATGGCTACCATTACAGTAGTCGCATATGATGTGTAACATTTGAAACCTCACCTTATATTAGTAAAAAAAGAAATAAAACCTACTACAAGAGGAATAAGCCATTTGAACATTATGTTCTTAAATCAAATGAAATAGTGCGCGCTTTGCGACTTCCTGTTACACACTTCCATCCCATTTCACGTAATCACTCCCACAAATTACAGGAAAGAGAGAGGAAAGATGTTAGACATCAATAAAAGTAATCTATAAAAAAAACAATATCAATCAAATGTTTTGAACAATGTATTGTGATATTCTAGAATATGAAACAGTTTTCAATATATATATATTTTTATAGTTTTTTAGAATATATGGTTAGTGTTTTTGTGTGTCTTTAGTTTTTTATCCATAATAATAATAATAATCTTTATATGGCCAACATATGTAACATAATGTCTTATAAAGACACCTTACATAAGCTTACGAATATAAAAAACAATCTTTAGCATTAGCTGCCAAACTAGGATTTGCATCCTGTATTTAAGTATTCATTGCCTCAATTATCAGGTTTAGACAATAACTTGTATCCTATACATTAGTGAAGTTCATGTTCAATGCTGATTTTATAATATATACCTATTTGATTTTAGTAAACTAGTAAAATAAAAATTGTGAATGATTCCTGTGTGTAAGACCTATGCCAGACGGATGTAATCCATCGTACCAAACAAGGTGGACCTTGCCCGTTGCCATCCATCTAGACGAAGGATGTAATCCAAATTTTGATTTGACCTTCAACGTCCTTGGATTACGGGCGCGTGATTACATCAGCGGTTGGAGCGTGTGGATTACAACCGTTTGGCCGGCGGATTACAGCCAACTAAGGACAGTTGCGCTGTAGCAGTCAGCGGGTGCTCACGTATGCATGTAAAAATGTCGTCCGAAGACCAGAGTCGCGAACGCGATATTACTAGCGAATTAATTAATTGATCTCTATAGAGATCTCCCATGCTTATGGGACATTACGTCGGAATCATATAAAGATGCTCGTCAAAAAAAATACGTGGGAGATATTACTCGAAAAGTATAGGGAGTTGGACATAAGTTTGAATGGCTGAGAATCATTCGCTCTTTTAACCAACGCTTCATCCACTTTCTCTTTTTGTGTTATTTTTCGTCGTTTATTGCACACAAAACTCCTAAGGCCATGCCCACTTTTTGAAATTTAGACAAATTTGGAGCCATTTCTACAACACGGTTAATACAGTCCTCGCGCGATACGAGTGCATACGTGTTTTCACGTCAGAAGACGGCTCGCGATTGCGTGTTGGCGCGTGGATTACATCCGTGTAGCCGAAAAACTTCCCACCAATGTCACCTTAGTTGGAACGCTAGATTACATCCATCTAGAATAGCTTTAGTGTGCTAGTGAATGGATGCGTGTTGAAGGATGAGTAATATATGTATGAAAACTGTCCTGGATGGATTCTTAATGATGACAACAACTTTATTTTTAAAAATATAATAAACTTGATAAAACTATGTACACAAGCATCACAACAAAGCTTACTTATGTTATCGTTGTATACATAAAAGAAGAGGAGCTTTTGATTTTGTCATAAGAAAAGTTGATACTGATTTTTTGACTAATAAATTATTTTATGCATAGATATTTATTTATTTTGCTCTACATAATTGGACCCAAAAAGGAAAGGAATCTCTGTGATAAAGTAGTCTTTGACATGAGGATTGGTCACATACCAATCCACCATCTAGGTTTCCTGAGAAGATCTGGACAGTACTCCAGTTGCTTTAAAATAATTTTCAGAAGGAAAATTTGTAAAAAACTGCAATAAATTTGCATTAGGTGTAACCCCATCTCTCAAGGTCTAAAATATGTACATGATTCTATGTATCGTTCTTGTTAAGGCATTTATGTGTTCCTATATGTTTGTCAATAATGACTCCTAAATATCTGTTTATTATCTTTGTAGAGTTCAATTTCTGTTTAGTATAATTCTTCTTAGCAGTATAAAAGGCACTCTTTGTGTATCTCTTTGCAGTTCATCATGCATGGTATAGGTAGCAGCAACCTCCTTGAATGTAACAAAGAAACTTGCACAGTAGACATTTTTGTATGTTGTCTATGATTGCTGCTCAAAAAGTGTGCCGGGGTGTAAACATGGTTGAGGTTGAATAATACAAAGGATATTGACATATTAGCTCAAATATATTTGTTCTTGAAGGGAATCCCCTAGGTCTCAACTTTACTTAGTATAAGCACAATAATTTCTATTTCATCCATATTTAAATAAAATTCTTATGTTAACATTACAGGAAATGACAAAAAAGTACAATCAACACCTTTATTAGATTATCTTGCGGCTCGTAAACAGGACAAGAGGGGCAGGGATGAGAGGCGCAGAAGAGAAAACGACAAGAGAAAAATGAGAATTGAACGTAAAACTAAAGAAATCCCTATAAAGGTAATGAAATATATTCTTCTTACTTTATTAAGTCAATTTAGGATTATCTGCAGTTGTGACCCTCCGTTAAGAATAAAATAGAAAGTGCAAATTGTAGTATGCATATTCACTGTGTTTACAGCTAATGAAAAATCCCATGCTAATTGAACCTAGGAATTAATGAAATCTTCATCACAAAACTCACTTTGGTTGTCAAATTTTTATTCATTTAATAATATTTCAACTACAGCTTCTGCGTATGGAAAGTCTTGTTAAATGCTAAACTAAGATTTAAATTAACATGCACTAAATCAAATATAAAAAAAGAATTTGAGTTCATATATGTCCCTGAGCACATTTATTTACAATTCTATTGGTAACTAAATTTGCAACTGTTTGCATTGTAACAAAAGTTCACTTAAATATTTTAATTCATTTGGATATAATGATTTGTAGTTTGAACACTTAACATTCATCAGATGTAACAGAAAAGTTATTTTAGTTATATAAATTTCTATAGAGACCTGGTGATGTATCAGAAGATGAAATGCTTATTGAAAATTCAGATTTTTATGAGCAAAAGCATAAGAATTTTTGGTATGGTGAACAAAGAGTCTATCACAAAAGTAAAATAAGATGTACTGTTAGACCAGAGTTGAAAAGTGCTCATGGTTCAGATGAATTTGTCAGCACTGATTCTGATTGGGACAGCCATTTTCCAGCATTATCCATGAAATCACATAATACCTTTACCCTAACTTCTAGTCAAGTTTGTGATAAAAATGAAATACAACAAGAAGAGAGTATAAAGAGTGGTGGGGACACTTGTTCCAAGGTTTAAGAGATTTCTTATATGATTTGTTTAGTTTAAATTCAATGTAGTTTTAGGCTGGTTTTAAATTTATGTGTACATGAAAACTTTTTTCATAAAGAATTTTATACTAGTTAACTATATTATTTGTAATTATAATAGTTTGATCTTTAGTGTATACAATATTTGTACAATGTAATAATTTGTCACAACTTTGATATATGAGTATGGTATCAAAACAATCTTAAATATTTCTATAATATTTTAAGGAGGAAGAAACTGCAGATACTGATATCAAGAAAATCAAATCAAGAGATTGGGATAAAGAAAAAGCTGAATCAAAAGATGATGCTAAAGACAGCACTGTCTTTGAGTCCAAAACCTTTAGAGAGCAGAGAAAATCTAATTCCAATATAAGTGCAGACAAAAAGAAAAGAATTGAGAGTGACAAGAAGGAACCTTCAGGAAAAGATGAGGATCAAGCATATGATTCTGATAAAGGTAACAAGAAAGAAAAGCGTGATAAATATAACAAAGAATCACCTCGTGAACTTAAGAGCAAGAAGTATAGTGATACTAGAAAAGATAGAATCAAGCAAGTGGAATCGGTAAAATCAGATAAGCAATCTGCTATAAATAAAATCATGTCTTCAGAAAACAAATCGAAATCATTGAATCACGACGACATTAAACCATTCACACAACTGCCACAAGTTAAAACTGATGACCTGACCAAAATCATAGATGGAATGGAAAAGAAGATGAAAGTGGATGACTCCAAGTCCCAAAAGGATACTAAAGACTCAAATGATAATGTTACAGAAAAGTTAGTAGATGTGTCAACAAAAGCAAGGCGAAACAGCTTCGAAACAAGTGGTACTGCAGACAAAGAAGAGTCAGTATTGAGACGACAAAAGAGCTTAGATGACAGAAGCAAATCTTCAGATAGGGAAGGATCAGAAGAAAAAGAAAAGGGTGATAGTACAGATCGTCGGACAGAGAGGAGGATTAGAAATAAGGTAAACTTATCTTTTATGTAGTAATTCACTTTTCAAAGTATAAATTCTTAATAAACAAAAACACTTTTACATATTTCAGGATCGTCCAAGTCTTGTTATCTATCAACCTGGAATGGGCAAATTTAGCAAGCAACGTTTGGCAAAGGATAAGGACACAACAGGATCATCAAAATCAGTAAACGAAAGTGAAAAGAAAGATACCTGAGACTACTGTTATATTTCTCGAAAATTGGACACCATTCGACGGAACCACCCTAAAGCTGGCATTCAATGCATGTCTTTGGAGTTACGATAGAAGAGGACATAGGACATGCCAACTGAGGGAACCATTGTTCTTGTTTATTCAAAGCCGTTATTTTATTGATTCGTTTAATTTACATTCTGTAATGAGTTGGAGATTTATTATCATTATTGTGACAAAAGTCAGCTTAGCATCTGATGTTACATATTTTTAGCTTGTGACCATTTAGTTCAGTTTGTTTTATTTCATTTAAATATAATACTTTTTGCAACAGGGTGTAATGTTTTATTGCATACAAACATTTATTTCCATAAAGCGGGCACTTCAATCGGCTATTCGTATTTGCTATTTGTAGACTTAACAACAGCCTGTTCTTATCATGCTTTATAGGAATGAAAAGGATAAACTGATGTCAAGTTTACAAATAGCAAACATCCTAAGCCAAGTGATTTGCTGGATAAATAGGTGGTTCTAATGAGTGTGACTTGCGATGACCTTCAGCATGTATCTTAAGTAGGCCAATTAAATAGCCATAAATGGACGAGTAGGTACGATCGAACCAACGGATTCCTGATCCTGACCCACTTGCCCGATAATTTGCTTGAAAATGTTAAAATAGGCAAGTTCTAGGTTTGGAGTGTAGGTTCTACCTAGATTTTAGTGTGGTCTTTTGTAGTGTGTAGCTGTTACTTCGTTACTCTGTGTGAAAAGTAAGTAAGGGCTTGGCGCTTTTTTGGTTTTTCAAACTACCTAGTCCGGTTGGTAGAGGGGATGAAAAGGATTAGGTACATATATCGTATACCTAAGAACCACGACTGAAACCGATAGGTTGGCTGGTTTGCTCTTAAAGTTTTTTCCTGCATCTGAAAAAAAATAGGACATAGCGAATTTTCCGCTTGAATTGGACCGCCCTTCGGGGGACGTAACCTCCACCTGACAGAAAATCACGATGTAATAACACTACCTTTTGGTGATGTTGTGTTTCTGTCGGTAAGTAAGGTTCGAGGGCTCCGCGGAGTTAGGGTAGGCAACGGTGCGAGTGATATTTTTGGCATTGCAAGCGTCTATAGGCTATGGTGGCCGCTTACCATCAACGGGTCATATACTTGTTTGCCACGCTTTTAGCATAAAAAAAACTGAGTGTTAAAAACACCACCAGACTTAAGCTGTCTTCACAAGGCAATATTTATTTATATTTCATCAATGTGCATAAGTTAAAAGTTCTTTTTTCCTACATAGGTATTATTTTTGCAAGCGTCTATAGGCTATGGTGGCCGCTTACCATCAGTGATATTTTTGGCGTTGCAAGCGTCTATAGGCTATGGTGGCCGCTTACCATCAGTGATATTTTTGGCGTTGCAAGCGTCTATAGGCTATGGTGGCCGCTTACCATCAGTGATATTTTTGGTATTGCAAGCGTCTATAGGCTATGGTGGCCGCTTACCATCAGTGATATTTTTGACATTGCAAGCGTCTATAGGCTATGGTGGCCGCTTACCATCAGTGATATTTTTGACATTGCAAGCGTCTATAGGCTATGGTGGCCGCTTACCATCAACGGGTCATATACTTGTTTGCCACGCTTTTAGCATAAAAAAAACTGAGTGTTAAAAACACCACCAGACTTAAGCTGTCTTCACAGGGCAATATTTATTTATATTTCATCAATGTGCATAAGTTAAAAGTTCTTTTTTCCTACATAGGTATTATCAAATGAAACAAACTGAAAAGTTATCTAGAAAATTTATTTCAACTATCACAGTGCAATTGTTAATTAAACAAAAAACAATAATATTCAGTAACTAAATATTAACAAGAAATATTGTTTGCCAAAACATTAGCAGTTTCTATCAGTTCTTGTCCAACCACTGATTATAAGCGAGAAGCGAGTGTAGAAGAAACGAATAACAATCACTTGACTTATTGTAGCTTTTCACAATATTAAGGGGTTTTATTCATATAAATAAACTAGCTTTCCCAGCGAACTTCGTACCGCCATAAAAATAGGGGCAGGTAGTAGAAGAGAAAATTTAGGGTTGTAGGTATGTATTTTTTAATACCATATTATAAAAAAATAAATATTGTCCAAAAAAAATTTTAGAGGTGTGTAACGTAGTGTTCTATCAATTTCCTGGGATAACATTCCTCCTAACCCATATGAGAACACTACGTTACAATACCCAATAGTTTGAATTTAGACGCGAAGGCGTATTGTAGGTTTCAGAAAACTATCTTACAGGTGGACAACCATTATCACTTAAGGATATGAAAAATAGATAGTAGCCGATTCTCAGACCCACGGAATATGCATATAAAATTTCATAAAAATCGGTCAGGCCGTTTTGGAGTATGGTAACTAACATTGTGTCACGTGAATTTTATATATAAGATAAATAGCAGGTAGGTAGTAAGGTACTTTAGCAGAGATATTAAACTGCACACGCACCTGCGCTCTGCTTACAGCAGCAGCAGTGTATCTTAAAATTTACTATAATTCTTTTGGTACCTACCTATTTAAAATTGACCAAATAACAAGACAAATTCCAAATACACAAATGTTACACAAAGAAATTTCCTAGGGTGTTTGCATAGCTAAGGGTATGAAGGGCCGTGGTCCCACTGGTTTTTCCTACCGCACTAGGGCGCTAAATATGGTAGGTATCTGTATTAAGTAAATTAATTAATTTATTTTGTTATTAAGTATAAAATTGATATTGTCATAATACAATTATTGGGATAGGTATTCAGTAAATAATGAATTATTTTGTAAATATTTAATGTTCGTTACTGACTGCAAGTCAATATTGTATTTTTTTTTTGTTTATTACAACGATACGTTTAATCTTGGTAATCCTTATACAGAACCAATAACAATTCATTGATAAGAAGTATGGAAAGTAAATTATCGGTGTTTATTATTTAAAAAAAATATAACAAAAAAATTCGAAATCCTTTATGGTAAAAAAATGAATAGCAAAGGAGATTGCTCAAATTGGCCCAAACGCACAAAAATATTGACATACACGGTAATTCTTGGCGTAATTTATAATTTAATTTACAATCATAAGATTTCAACGGACACCTTTGTATAAAATATTTACTTTAAAAAGTACTTTTAATTTTACCGGTTTGGAAAACATACGAATCATTTTTAATGGCTTATGGGTGTAGTAACATTCAACCAAAGACTGATCGAAGTTGTTTATATGACATAAAAACAATTCTATTTTGTAAAGATCGATATTTTTTTTTTATTACACTGTGGTATTAATACCCACAACTATATTATCATTTTCACTACATGCAAATGTGCTCAGACAATTATTATAGATGGTAGGCGATATCATAATAGTAGTTTATGATACTGTTGCATAATAAGGGTTCTTATAACATGAGTGTGTTTTAAAAAAACGAGCCGTAGGCGAGTTTTTTTATAGTATCACACGAGTGTTATAAGACCAAGTTTTTACAGTGTCATACACTACTGTATCTACTCTCATACTATAATACGTAAAACAATATTGCAGATAAAACGTTGAATATAACAACAAATTTATTTTTACTTGTAGTAATTATTGATGTTCTGAATATTACAATTTTATTATGAAACTGAATTTGAACCGGACAGGAAGCGTTATTGGAGGTACTCAGAGAGGGTATGTTAATGTTGACCTCATTTCTGTTATTTTCACTACTGTTAAGCATTGAATTGGATACAGCGATCTTGTTAGTCATTGAATCATCTATATTGCCTTCTGCAACTGTCGTTGACTTCCAGCCACCGTGTCGCTTTAGTGCCGTTATGTCTCCACCAGCGTCAACTAGCAAGGTCGCAGATGTTCGGCGAAAGCAGTGTCCTGTGTACAATTCGGGGTCGGTAAGTTGAAGATAGCTGGCAATAACTTTGCCTAAAGCTCCAAATTTGTTAATGCCAACTCTCTGCGTCGTGCATTTTCCGGCTAGTTAGTATAGTTTAGAAAAAAACTAGGATTGCTGCACTCAGTTGATCATAGCTCTATGTATTATTTGCATTGTTCATAATATTTCCCAGTAACGGTAAAAGAGCGGTCCGTCTTGGTTTTAGTTTTACTTATTTTGATCAATAGTGTAGTTTCGAAAACTTCAAGATCTTTGAATTGTATGTTGTATAACTTTTGCCGTCGGCAAGCACCCATTATACCAAAAATTAGTGCAATCTGTAACAACTCATCTCTTATCTATTAGACAAGTCCGTCCGTCCGTCTGTCTGTGGTGCTGTTTCAGCGGCCAAACCGTAAGAGATAGATAAAGAGAATATTTAAGTTCTAAGTTAAGAATAGTCTGATAAGACTACAAACCGGATTTGAGTAACGTAGCACTTCCGGTTTTCGAGAAATCACGAATTTCAAACGAAACCACACAAAATCTCCGAAGTTCTCAATTAATAAAATATTTTTTTTTTAAATCAGGGTTGGTGAACATTTGGTTCACTGGTTTGCTAGTATATATATATTAAGGTAAATTAACTCAATATTAACAAAAAAATGTACATGGTTAACTGATAAACAACTAAAATACCTTTGTGAAGAGATATAATGTGTCTGGGGCTTCATTTAATAACTTATTTATCTGCTCTGCTGTAAAAGTCTTGGATTTTTTCCCTTTATATCCTTGTGAGTTTCGTTTCAAAAATGCAATCAGCTTGCTATATTTAGTTATGTCAACTTCGTTGTAAATATTGAGTGTACTTTTAATTATGGAGTATTTAACCCACATACTTGACACTTTAATTTTTCAGATAACTCTTGAAAGTACGCTAACAACACATTTTCAGAAAATGATGTAGCATTTTTATTCATTTTCCATTCCATGAATTCGTGGAACATTTATTATAGTTGCTCCTAGATTTCGCCGGCAACAGGTTCATGGTCATGTTTGACGCAGCTTCCAGAATGTCTGGTGGTGTACAATCACCACTAAACCAAACTTTGTTTAAATATTGAAAAGATTTTTAAATGTCAAATGTTGGCGCCAAGGTGCAAACATCGATTGCGCATGCGTGTTGCGTCGTCGCGGACTCGTTCATTGAAACCTTTTTAAAGTAGAGGTTCAACCTCCTTGGTCCAGCTGGAGGTGGTAACATAATATAACTTTTTAATCATAACAATACACCTGTTATGATTAAAAAGTTATATTATGTTACAGGTGTCCATACAAGACCTGTATCGTAATTGAACTTTTTTTTTATTATTTTTGGCCTGTACGTAATGTTTGTCATAAGCATTTTGTTTTCAGTTTTAGAATCTTTGTATTATAGTATCAGAGTAGATAAAGTCTATCGCCATACATTTTTGGCCAAACACCTCCATAAACACATTATAATCTGTATTTATGTTAGACTTTAAGGTATCTATCTATGGGCCTACGTTGCCTGACTATAAATTAATAAATAAATAAAATTATACGGTGTCATACACTAAAAATCTAAAATATGGTTATATTAAAAACATAACAAAAACAATGAAGTTACTGAATATATGGCTATATAACCTAAATCTCCTAGCTTTCTTTGGTTAACGAGAGTTTAAAAATTCTCTGTAATCTGTTGCTCATTTACAATCATCACACAGTTTTTGTCACAGAGGGTACCTTATTATAACCGGAAATGCAAAGATGACACCTAATTTTAAAAGTTACTCTTATGCATTAACTTTAAAAAAACAGGCAACTATCTGTTAATCTACATGCTCTATATACCTGAATCTAATCCATAATTTCGGTACTTGGCTTAATTTCCTTAGTTTACTATATTACTTATTTGTTTTTTATTATTTTAATATGTTCAGTGTATATGGTTTATAGAAGTTCTCAGGGGTGTCCGTCAATAATATTCGTTTCTACAGTAATTTATATATACTTAATTTCGAATCTAGTAAACATTTTTTCATGATTATTGTCTTTAGGCCAAACATGTATGGAAGCTGAGCAATCTCCTTTGTAATATTTGAAAACTTTTAAGACAATAAACATATCTTAAAAATATCTGGGAAAAATTGTCTGAATTGAATTATCTGGGACTGACTTTCGGTTACTTATATTTTTTTCACGAAATTTGGTGAAAACTGTTCTTCATATGTCCCAAATACGCTCTAATTTTTTTTATTCAAAACATTTATTTTTTCCCGTTTAATTTATAATAATATATCAAAAAAGTAACGTTATTCTCAAACGAAAAATCTCCTTCCCTTCCCGACCTCAAATCGCCCGCAATTTATTTTTCCTCTTTTTTTATGTGTTTTCTTCCTTTTCGTATGAGTTTCATCCTGTTCCGAATATTTCTCACTTTTTACGATTTACAAAACTAGCCCTGGTTTAAACTCCGGTACAAACGCTTGTTTCCTTGATAGGTACAAACATTTGCCTCTACCGGGATACAAACCCTCCAAATGACCTCAGAATAGGCAACGACGACGCCTTGGAATTGGAAATCTGTGAAGAAAATACTCCGCCAGTATGGAGGTCGAATATCGTATATACGTAGGTAATCAGACGATCAAAATATTAACATCAAAAAAGTATGCCTGCGTTTCACTAAATTATACACTGCAATTTGAAAAAGAGCCGTTTCTATTCCACAAATCACAACTTTGGTACATATTTTTATTTAAATAAATAATGGCACTTACACCTTATACATTTTTGTAGAGATAATATTATAATCTAACTAATCAGCCTTCTACATCCTCTTGTGTAGCTTTACAGTAGGTAAAGGCAGCATAACTCATTTAATGGAAGTGTTGGGAAAACTTGTTATTCTTATATTAAAATCTGGCATCGTACGCAAGCGTGAATGTGCCTATCTAAATGAGGAAAATGTAGGTATATTTCCTAAAACAAATCTTTCATACAAACGTTGATACAACACACCAAAAAATAAATTAGCCACTTCGGTCGAAAAACTAATAGTTTATAGCGTGTTAAATACAAATATAACATAGTTTCGTCATTCAAAGACTTGTGTGGCGCAGAAACGCCTGAATAAATAAAATTAAAAATAGGGTAATGCTACAAAGACGTAACTCCTCGAAAAGCCTCTTTGGCTGAATGAATGAATTCACAAAAGAAAATGATTACCTAATATTTATAGGCACACAGTTTCTATTGACGGTAACTTTTGTTTTTTGTAATCCGAAATCCAAGCTTTTCTCTTCTTATGAGGAAAAGATCATATCATGATATATTGTCATCATCATCATCATCGTAGCAGTGACATCAGTAAGCGAAGTAGGTAAACCTAATTTAAATTCTACACCAATTAACTATAAAATAATCGTAAAAATTAAACATCTCGTAATAAATAAACTATATAATTGATTAGTTAACTGTCGAAACTCAACAAGCCTTTTAGCTGCTAAGTTGCTTCCTTTGGCCGTTACATTCGTAACAGATTTGTTATTTTTGTTAAGATAAATAATAAAATTAAAATACAATGCAACTTATAACTAGCTATCTTCTGATAACACATTAACAATCATTATACAACTAATTAAAAATAATTAAGGCTAAGACGTATCTTGGTACAGAGGCTTATTAAAGATGCTGTAAATATCAAATTCTATCATTTGACGTTTTTCGAAAAAAAAACGGATGTATCCTATTTAATAATAATAAACAGGGGAATAAAAATCGAGTACCATTTTCATAGAGTAAATTGTATAAATATGCAAAAATAACAAGAATCAGATCACATAGAAATAGTTATGCACAAGCTTAAACTCATTATTATTTACTTAAAATAAAACTAGCCCGATCTAAAAGTTGTTACTGAACTAAATATTATACCTATATCATATAGAAAACACTGCCTATGTAGGTTGTATCTATCGAGTAAAGACATTTCAAAATTCAGCTTTGACCTAAAAGGATTTTCCTCCAGGCAGTTCTTAATTATAGCACCGTCTCGTATATTTTTTATATATTCTAGCTCGCTGGATTACCTGTCACTATCAGTAGGATATCAGCAGCTATAGGTGAATTAATCTACAATACAATAATTTATTTTTTTATCTATCATCAAACAATATCTTCATCAAAACATTTGGTTTTTTCTTTGGTTCAAATTAATTGTTAAAGCCTAGAAACATCATTTAATTCGTTGAGTATCGGAACCATTGCCTGATTGTCAGAATCATTGGTCGGTATAGCTTTCTTCATCTTCTCAGCCTTCGTCTTGGTCTGTGAGACGTTATGTCGATGCATTAGATACAGCAGCAATATGAACCCGATGAGGAAGCCTGCTAAGCCCCCGGCGACATTTAACCATGTCCTCCGAGATGTTTTGTGGTTCTGAAACTAAAGAGTTGACAAAAGTGAAACACCATCCTCGATAAGGAAAAAAATGTCAAATGATAGCTTTTCATGAATATTGTTTTAAAGCGATTTATTGCAACACAAGATCATTAGCCGATGGAGGTTGGAACACATCGATTATCTCGTATAATTATCTTTTTTGATAATTATTAGTAAAAGTGCAGTTGTAAATTACCTGTAAATGTAAAGCTTTACATTGCTGATGAGTTGCGTTGAGAACTCCAAATCCTTCTGTTGCGGCGGGACAGTCATTAAATTCTGTAAGACACACCGTATTATTAATTATACCGGATAAGTTATACAGCAAAATATTTGTTGTTGCATTCTTATAAGTAGGCATTGGAAAATATAAATTGTCTGAACAATATTAACGATAAAAACAGAAAGAAAGTAAAATTGTCACATCACAATCAGAAATCTCCGTTGAGGCAAGAAACTTCATACCCACCTTTTGCATTTAACTTAGAATAATCTTCAAGCTGGAAGTAAACTCTTTTTTCTTGCAACCAAATTATCGTAGGTTTAAGGCCGCAATATGGCAAATTATCAATGGCACTTGTTAAATCCACTTTTTCCAATTTGCACATTGCTGCAAAATGACTCGGTTCAAGTATGGACAGTGGATTATGTGAAATGTTATAATGGATCAGATGTGGTAAAGGACCCCAATTCGGTAACACAAGTATTTTGCAATTTGAAATATCCAAAAGCTCCAACGGCGCATTGATGGGTTTGTGAAGCTGCAATTTTGGTAAACTAAGATGGAGGAGCGGATTGTCCTTGAGGTAGAGTTTTCGTAACGACGGCAGTTGGAAGATTGTCTGTGGCAAGTTAAATATTACATTATTGGAGAGATCCAATGTTTGCAAATAGCCAAGAGGCGCGAATGCGTCTTTATCTATATTATACATCTGGTTCTCCGCCAAGTATAAGTATTTTAAACTCGTGTAGCTAGAGAAAGTATCAGCTTTTAGTTCCTGTAATCTATTCTCGCTGAAGTCGAGGATCTGAAAAAAAAAATATTTTTATTCACCGAAAGATAAATGTGTTTCCATTGCTTAAGTAAATCTCTGCATTTAAAAAAACGTAAGAATGGTAAAAGCTAGTAGAGCATAGTGTTCACAGTGATTTGCCAGTCTTGCCAGACTTCTGAGGATCCAAAAGGTGTCCTACCACTGCGCTGAAGTAACCCTTCATCCTAAGATATTTTTAATAAAACAATATTTGCTTTCGTTCTTAATGCTTACATAAGGAAGAAAATATTGGGAGGAGGTTACGCAAAATCGCTCGTGCTATACAAAGCTATGTTATTTCAGAAATACCTACATAGGCTGGCTGGAAATTTCTTTCATCGACTCTAACAATTATATATTTTATAGTTAAAGATCAGCGTTACTTGCCTCAATTCCACTTTTGAGGCTTGGTATTTCGTGCAGCTTTAGTCCCACGCAGTAGGCACCATACATCTCGTATGCCCGCTCGTGGCTGCATCTCTTTGGTTTTGCATCTGTTAGCCCATCCAACTGTGTCAAGCTCTCGCTGATAGTACACCAGAACACGAAGATAGCGAGAGCAATTGAACTACTGATTCTGAAATTGTAAAAAAAAACCTATGTTAAGAAGTAGGTACGTTTTTTTGATTCGATTGGAGGTTTTCCAAACATTATACAGTCTAGCACAGGATATTATAAGCGCTGATACTGTATACCTGCACCTTTGTGAGTCTGCTAACCCCGCAAGGCATGTTATTACGTACTCTAACATGCAAGCTACCTTAGGTGTCGGTAAAGGCACTCTAGCATATTTGGACTATTGCTGTATATCTCATTTTTTCTTTTATTTATTATTATTACCAGTTTCATAGAAATATATAATATTGTTATCAATCGCATCTTAAAACCGCAGGGGTTTGAATTTATGCGATGTATGCGTGCACAATTATTATTATTAAACTATTTACATATTTTTTCATCTTCTTTAGATTAACAGTTGTAAGTACCCTAATTAATTGTTAATTTAATTATACTTTGATTCTCCCTTTTCTTTGAGTAACAATAGGGTATGTTTTTTTAATATTTTTAGTTTGTCATAATCATCAGCCTATTAATGTCCCCACTGCTGGGGCACAGGCCTTCCCTAAAGATAGATTAGGGAGATTCGGCCATGACACACCACGCGGGCCCAGTGCGGATTGGCGGGTGCTAACGACTACAGATGCAGCCGGGACCAACAGCTTAACGTGCCTTCCGAAGCACGGAGGAACTCGAGATAGAAGATTTTTGGTCACCCATCCAATGACCGACCACTGCGAAAGTTGCTTAACTTCAACGATCGCAGCTGAACGCGCTAACCACCCGCGCCATTGAGTTCCTCATTTATTTTGTAGTTTATATCTTCTTTATACAGTATTAAAATAACTACGTCAAAAATTGTATTGTGTCAAAAAACTTAAAAATACCCAATATGTTTTGGGCAGTTTAAACGCGTGCTATTTTCGAAAGTTTGAATGTGACATCACGATACATCAAAACCTACCAACAAGATAAATGACCTTACAAGATACTGACATTTTGTGTTCCACACCTTCACTGCAGATGGAAGTCGGAACCTACGTCAATGGAATAGGCATTATGTTTCATAATTTTTTGGTAAAAAAATAAATTTCATAGTGAAAAGGTGCATTTGGTGTCTAGGTAGAACGCGGCTTTGCCATTTAAGCCAGAGATTTAAGTACTGACTCGCACTATAATCTCGTTGACATTGGCATATCCTGAGTAATCATCACGTGTTAGTAATTTTTACGTCACAACCAATAGTACCCTTAGCACGAACCAATATCGAATTCGAATAGTTTGCGAGTCCGTTATGAACACTCACACCAATTAGCCTAGGCTTGTGTCATAGGATACTAGGGTAACGGATATAATACATATACTTTACATATATAAGTATATTTATATAGCAATACACATTAAACATCCATGACTGGAGTACAAATGCAAGTGTTCATCACACAAACATCTGCCCCCACCGGGATTCGAACCCGGGACCACTCGAGTCGGCGACGCCATGAAACCCGGCGTGCAAACCACTCGGCCACGGAGGTTGTCTTTCATTGTCAAATATGTACTGATTTTTAGTTCCCGCTGAGGCGCTGCTGTTCAAGTTTCCATGCTATATACTACTCGTTCGTGCTAGGGGTACCCGGGGTAGCACGAACCATTATCGAATTCGAATAGTTCGCAAACCGAAATGTCAATGTCAAATTTTGTATGGAAACTTGAACAACAGTGCTAGGGGTACTGCTCTTGTCGCGTTTCCAAATAGTTAAATTTCCCACAAGTATTTCCCACTTTTATATCATTAATTTCTTGCTCAAAAAGAAATTTGATTAACAAGTATTGATGCAGGGACAACTTAAACGTAATAGAGTTTATATAAAAATAACGTGAGGCTTATTTGAATTACATGCCTATTCTCCATTATTCAAATGTCCGGTGGACTACTGTTACTTATGTCGTACATATTAACCCCAAAGTATAAGACATGTCAGTCAATCTCTTCAAAATGCTTGATATTTTGAATTCATGAATATTTGACTATAATAAATCTGTTTTTATTTGGTAAAGATCTAAAGACTTGGGATTGTATTCCAAGTGAATCTGCTTTCTAATAGGTAGTGTAGAAGATGGATTATGTAGAACACTTTACTGGCACTTTTGTACTGTAGGTACAGTTATAAAATTACAATATTATCAAGAAACGGGACTAATGAGACGATACAATGACAATGCTTTATTCATGACTGTTGTGAGCTGTGCAAGGAGAGGTCTAAAAGTCAACTGATAAGTTTTTTTTGGAAGAGGTTATCTAACTTCATAATATATTTATGAGTGTTGAAGTGTTTGCAGCAGCATACTACTTACATGTTTAATAGTTATTAGGTACATATCCATTAAAATTATATTAATATGTATTTTTGTTGGGTTCCGTAGCCGAAGGGTTCATAAAAATAGACCGTCGTTTGTCACACAGGTTTCATCACGGTTTTGCAGGCAAACGGCTGAAGTAAAAGTCTTCAGTTTTGCTCAGCTTTAGCAATTTCTAAACCCTAAGCCAAATAAGTTGTCACTAAATATTTTCGAATATAATCTATCTAATAATATATAATCGAGGAGGGCTAAAAGGGGTTGCGATGAAAAAATTGGACGTAACCTATCGAGTGGGACATAGTTATCATGAGATCGTTTACTATATTAATATACGAAAATAGCTTTCTTAACCCCTTAGGGTTACGAAATCGAAATACCAATCGAATCGAAAAGTATTTAGTGATAACTTATTTGGCTTACCAAATACTTTTCAAGGAGGGCTAAAAGGAGTTGCGATGAAAAAATTGGACGTAACATATTGAGTGGGACAAAGTTATTTATAGATCGTTTACTATATTAATATACGAAAATAAATTAATGGGATTCCACCGAAGTTTTTTGGTACATCTACAAGTAGGACGTAAGTACGTAACATATTAAGTAACATAACATTATTTGGTAACATGGTAAACTCTACCTAGTAAGCCAAAGTGCACAAACTCGAGATAAATAATATATATTAAAACAGATTTCTAAAATCAGTCTATGTCAGGTATAAACGACCACAGTATTTTGGTGTCAAACTATCCATTAACAAGGATAAAAAGATTCAGAAACCCGGTTAAGGTAAAAAACTAATAAGATAACCTACCTATTGAGCGTAGCATAAATAACCCATGTGGGTACTTTACGCTATTTAGTAGCGTAAAGTATAAAGTATATACATATATATTATACATACGTATACTTATTGTTCACAATCAAAATTTTACTATAAATGTCCGTAGTACATACCCAGTAGTAGGAAATTAAAGTTATGTTTATATTTCTTTTTAAGCATTTAACTGCTAGATGTTTAAATCTTAAGAAAAGTTTACTAGAAAAAGAAATCCACGCGGACTTGAAATTTCCAGGCAGCGGACGGGACCGGTCCCGTCCGCTGCCTGGACCGCGTGGATTTCTTTTTCTAGTAAACTTTTTTTTATTTTTTTCTAGTAAACTTTCCTTTAGGAAATTAAAGACTATATAATATCTTTATTATCTACAACGGCAAGAAACGTGTTAACGGGTGTGTTTATACCTTCAACATCATGCCAGCACTTTACTTGGCTATTTGTCAATGCTATTTGTAAACTTGACAACAGTCTGTCCATGCTTTAAGGAACGAAAAGGACAGAGACATGTCAAGTTTAGAAAAAGCAAACACGAATAGCCAATTGAAGCGCCGACATCAAGCTCAATATTCAGTATTGGAATATCTGAATGAGATAAAGAACATAATTACTTTTAGGTCTAGGGTTAGGCCTTTATTGACTCTTAATCCAAATTCACATACATCCACAGTAAAAGTCACCATAAGTCGTGACTCGTTCAGTGTGTCTGCTAGACGATAAAAAATGCTCGCTTGATACACAGAGATCGATCTATCAAAACCAATTACTCCCAAGCATAATAGAGAACTGTGTTCATCTCGTCGAAAATTAGTCAACTTAAGACAATTAGGACAATTGAATAGCAAATTGCAAGAGGTCCATAGTAGTTAAATGGTCAAGTATTTTATTAAATTCAAGGCCCACCATTTTTATTATACTTATACTTCATTTAGCGTTAAGTGTGTGTGGAACTGTGAAATACACTCCACTTGTTATACTCAAAAACTATCTATTCGGAGTCGAAATAGATTTTAACAAATGACTTCATGCGTTAGTGCGACAAGCAGCAACAATACACCCGAAAGATCTTAACCACAACCGGTATTTTATTATTAGCCTTACGACGAAGACTGCACAGTCTGGGGAGACTGGGGCAGTCCATCCCCAAGGACCACCTCCGTGGCCGAGTGGTTTGTACGCCGAGTTTCATGGTGCCGCCGACTCGAGTAGACCCGGGTTCGAGTCCCGGTGGGGGCAGACGTTTGTGTGATGAATAAGAGCAATTGTACTCCAGTCATAGCTGTTGAATATGTATTTGTGTGTAGGTATATATACATATGTACAATATATGTATTCTATCCGTTACCCTAGTATCCCATAACACAAGCCTTACAGTGCTTATTTTGGGGCTAGACTAATTGGTGTGAGTGTTGGAAATATTTATTATTATTAAGGATGTCCACATTCGATCGGTCCTCGTTCTGTGCATCTGTGCCTCAGTTCCATCCAGCAATTTCCCGCGACTTTCACCATTCGGTTTACCCACAAAATAGAAAGTCCATTTTGTAGCCTACCGCGTTTTGGGCCTCGTCGTCGCCATTCGAGAACTTTTTATGACACACGCAGATAGTAAATGACCACCACCAATATTAACAAAAAAAATGGTTAATTTGGTCACAATTATGATAGGTACCGTCATTGAGCAACACAGCCGACGCGGCGACGCGGCCAGGAGGAGAGTAGCCAAAGTGACATAATACTACTGAAATCATTTTGCCCCTTTTTACGGGGGGAGGAATATGCACACAAATGCAGTATGTTAGACCGAAATTTAAAGTTATGGTCA